GTACATTACACATAATATTTAGATCTCTATGTTTGTCGAAAATCGCTGATATTTTTTAATATATTATAATGGTGATGTGATGATGAATTTTACTATATAAAAGTGTCATTTCCGGCCATCTACAAGTAGGCCTACAATTTTCTTACATTTTTGCACAGATGGGTTATATTCCGGGAGATTTGCGGGTGAGAGGAGGCTGTCCCAATTTCCGGAAGATTCCAGCAACTTCTGAGAGACTTGGGACCCCTGATATAGTTTACATTAAAAATGTTTAATTCTTACCAGCCGGAAGTATATTAACCACAGGAGTGTTTGGTAATATTGCATAATTCAGAGATCAGATGTGTATAAGAGACAGGGTTATTACTAAGCATAACATATCTTTGGTAAAATGAGTCAAATGTTTAAATGTTTTTTTAAATTAAGATCTCCTTGGTAGAAATTTCATTTTTTATGATCTTTTTTATGAATATTATGTGATCTATTTGAATAGGCCTATAATGTTATCCTCAAAATTCCAGCCCCATGAAACCAAGACTTGGATATAAGAGAATGTGTCCTGCGGAGATATCCCTGACGAGGGGGAAAATTTCCCACGAGAACAAAGTGGGCGTGATCGAACGTCGCTATAAATGCCTTGTAAGTGGTCTAGAGGGCTAAGCCCCCGAAATTTTGACAATAGGGGTTTCAAAGGCTTATTTAATCGATTTTAGAGTCTACTAATATGTACAAAATACTATTTTTTTTTCTCCCAGACGAATTTTGGTTTCTCTTCGCGACGGGGAAGGGGGGGGGGCTGGAGCCACCCCTGTAAACGTCACCTCACATTTTTTTAAGGAGGAAGGGTTGGTCCCCTCACTTTTCGTGAGTCAAGAAGATATGCCTGAAAATTGTTGTCATAAATGCATAAATGACCCAAGTTTTAACGGAAGAGCGCTGTACATTTAAATTACCTAATACTCGACTCGAGTGCGCGTGCCTTTATTATAATTTGAGAAGTATGAGAAAAAGCGTGCAAAGATAAGATTGGGTTTCGGCACATGAAGTAGTATTTTCTATGGCACATCACAACGATTAATTAGATCGATGATGATGAATTTTACTAGGCCTATATAAGAG